CGCGCGGGCGGCGTCCGCGGCGGCGGGGGCGTCGGCAGCCGCCGCAGGCGGCGAGAGGGGCACGCCGGCGTCTGCAAACTTCTGGGCAACCACGTCTGCAAACTTTGCCAGGATGGCGACCTGATGGGTGACGGTGCACAGTCGCAGGAGTGTTGAAGTTGAACAGCCAGTGCGCCAGCGCACCATGCAAACGGCCCCCAACTTGGGAGGCGGGCGACGATCAGCACCAAGAGGGGCCGGCGGGCCCAGCAGCGGGAGGACAAGCGCAAGCGCCCCGCCGTCCTGCCGGGAGGGTTGCGGTCAAGCCTGCACGGGCGGCAGGCCGCGGCTGGCTGTCGCGCCGGTCCCTCTGTCAGTGCGGCGTGCCAGCCTGTTGCCTCGTTCTCACCTGTGAGTCTGTGGAGCCGGGGCTGCGGGCCGCGGGGTCGGCGCAGCAGAGCACGCCCAACAACCTGCCGTCCGGGGCGATCAATGGGGTGCCTGCACAAGAGCAGCAGATCAAGCGCGGTCGCGCCGCGCTGCCTCTTGATGCTAGGATAACTATGTGGCGTGTTGATGCGTTGGGGCGCACGTACACCAACCTACTCGCTGCCTGCTCAGGGCGGGAGAGCGATGAGTTGCTGCGCGAATTGCGGCGCCTCCTCTGGCCCTCGGTCCACACCAGGATGGCGCCGGCCTCGGTGCAGAACGCGCTGCCCCACACGCCCAATCACCTGCAAAAAACGCGACCGTTCCCGCCTTGACGCAAGGGCAGCCCGCGAACCTGTGGGAGCGCGAGGGAGGCGTTTCGCGACGCCCTGAGGCGTTGCAGACGGTCTGGGCCTGCTGCCTGGTGCACACGGGTCGAAGGGGCCCTGCCCGCAACCCAGCCGGCCATCCGGCACGCCCGCATCATGCGGGCAGCCACGGGGCGCCACGGCCGTCCACACCTGGCATCGTCTCGCGCGTTGGGAACGACCAGCGGCGCCCCCGCCGCGCCGCTGCAGGACAACCATGCGCATATGCTCTTGTGCCAGCTGCCGCCACCGCCCTGCAATGTGATCGGGGATGAGAGGGGTGCAGGCGGCTGCGGCGGCCGGCGATGCAGGAGAGGCGGCCTTCCCGCGAGCCACAGGGACCAGGCAGGGAGGGGCCAAGGCAGCGGGCGGCAAGCAGCGCGCTTCGATTGAAAAATCACGTGAGGCTGCGGGAGTCCGCCTGAGCCGCTCTCCAGAGCTCTGCATGCAACACAACTTAGTGCCATGTCCGACAGACCTGCAAACCAGCGCTGGTTTTCGTCCAGATCTGTGTTTCAAGCGGCGACGATGCGCAGGCCGTTTTAATGCAAATGACTGATGGTGGGGCAGGTGACCAGCAACATAAGGATTTGCAACACGGCGGCGAGCAACCCGCGAAAAGTCACAGTACAGCATGGTCTGACAAGTGTGGCAGTAGCCACGGGCTCCGCTGCTCGCCTATGCTCATGCGTGCCAGCACGCACGCACCCGCCTCTCATCAAACAGGGCCATGACCGCGGTCCGCACGGCAAAAATCCCCATGACGAGGGTCAGTATGTTGTCTAGCTCTGGAGTTGTTGGTGAGTCCACAAGAGACTCGAAGAGCGCTGCATGTGCAGTGGGCGCCAGGACCGGCGTCGCTGGCGCTGCGACATCGTGCTGGTGATGCTTCCTGCGCGAGACCCGTCCAGCATGCAGCTTGGCAGCCGGGGCACCGCCCGCGCTGCTGTCGTGCACTCCGGCGACTCCCGACTCTACTAAGCTATGTGTCTGTCCCATTTGTGTACCCTTCACGCCAAACGTTGCGAGTTTATCATCTGGATGTCTGCTTCACCAACGTGACGTTGCCCACGGCTGCCAATTAGTTTTATTGTCCGGCGAGACTTGTCGCACGCAGGCAAGATGAGAAAGACACGGCGGATCTCCGTCCCACGGAGCACAAGCACTGCTCGACAGTGGCACTCTCGAGCGGGTTGAGTGAAGCAAGGCGTAGTGGCGGGTTTTCTCTGCACATTCACGGCTCAACGCACGTGGTGCTCCGCTGTCACCCCGAAGCTGCCCCTTCCTGGCGTCACTTCGGGGCCTCGTGCTGCAGATGGCTGGTGGGTTGACTCTCCCAAGCCGTATGCAAGTCCTGTAATCGGTGACCACAAGGCAGCCAAACACGTCATCTAACAGCTGAATTCTGCTTCAAGGCCATTCGGGAAGAAGTCAAGCAGCTCTAATGCCTTCTGCAATTCCCACACAGGAGTAAAAGTTCATAGCTGTCATGAAGGATGCGTGCCATCCGTGGTCTACACGGCACGGTGTGTTACAATATCATAAGTTCCAGACCTAAGCAATGTAGGACAATGTCACGTTGAAACAAAGCACTTTCAATACGTTTTGGTTGTTGGGGCGTGATGGCCAGCGATCTCACCACCTGCCCCAGAGGGAGCAATAGCAGCAAGCAATTTGTCTTTCAGCAACTGATCGAAATGTGGTGTGCAAGCTCCATATGGAATGCATCATTGATGATTACCGTCATGCCAGCAGCCGAACAAGCCTGCCATCCAGCAATGACCCCTTTCCACGGATTGGACCTCATTCCATAAGTTGAGTGTACATGGGGTCTTGCAGGCAGGCCATCTTTCAGTCTTACTGTCAAGTCAAGTCAACTTGTGGTGATCATACACCAGCCAATCTGCAAAACTATGTACGTGCTGCACGACAGCCAAACTAAATAAGTCTGCAATTGAGGTAGTGGGTGGTCGGCCCCAGAATGGCATGCATATGGGATGCATGCACAATATTTTGCGCCAGTCCCTCATGCGTGCATGCGTATATGGGTTGCGCTGCTAATTGCTTTGTGATGGTCCTAAGGCAGCCCCCTCCTCCCCGCAACGCCGTGCTGATTGGCGCTGTGTGCAGCTCCAGCAGCGTCGCAGACACCGCATCTGACGATATCCGTCTCACCCTTCGTAATATTACTCAGAGCCCAGTTGCGTGCCCAGTGTGCCAACAATGCAGCAACTAGCTGGTTGCCCACAGCCCGCTGTGCATGCTGCGCTGGTCGGGCAGTGACAAGGTGGCGACTCACGCTTCGCGCGCTAAAAGGGGCAGTGGTTGCGAGATTTGTGCTCATAACATATTAATGCATCATGACATGAACCTCTTGCCTTCCATAAATGTACGTTAGCTGACGCTGTGATAGATCCCGTGATCGCCAACACTGGCGCATGATAGGGGGAGTAGGTTGGCGTATAGTCTTCCAACAGTTTTGCTTCTCAATCTAGTCACGAGATATCCCCGCAGGTATGTGCGGGCAAGAAAGCGGAAATGGCGCGTGATCTCATGATGAATTTTGCCGCGTCAACCGCTTGAAATGGCATGATAGTATTGCAGCTTGCTCAATTATCATACGGTATGTGCGATCCGAGAACCCTGGTGCTGGCAGCGCTGCTGCAAACCTCACAGCAGCTTGGTCCAACAGCTCCGGTGCAGGCCGCCGTTGCATGCACGATGTGTGGCAATCATCATTGCCGCGCCTGCCGCAGGCACTCGCAGCACCCGGGCTGCTTTTCACGCTGATCAAGCCCATCATGCGTGCCGCCGCTGAGCTCCTTCGCTTCATGCAGCGGGGCGCTGCCATTCGCATTCGTATCCACCGATGCGAGCGCCGCAGCACCGTCCTGTCCATGCTGTGGTGGGCCGCTGCCCTTCTGGTTGCGGCGGGCACGCTCTACCTGGCCATTCCACCCGCGGCCTTTGAGTCAGCGGTGGCCCTTTCCTGTGGCAGCGGCTGGTGGCGCTCATGCGCCGCAGTCTGGGCGCTCGCGGCCCTGGCGACCCTCGTCTTCAGGTCAGCGGCAGGCATCGTCCACTCTGCCAATGCCGCGATCGCTGCAGCACTGGGCATGCGCGGCAGGCAACCGGCGATCCCGCCGCCGCCGTCACATGCCACCATGGCGGCGGGCGGCACACTGGCACTCGCCACCGAGACCATTGCGCACGCGGGGACAGCGCCGACGACCCCCCACCCAGCCCAGCTGACAGGCGCAATGGCCCCCGCCGGTAGCCCGCGTCGCCCGCTCGTCTCGACGGCGCTGGTCTCTGCGCCGCATGCTACCATGCCTGCGCGGTTTTCACACGTCGGCGCAAGCACCGCGCGCTCCCCCTCTGGGGGCATCGACCTGGGGGTGCTGCAGCAGCTGCTGTGCGAGCACCAGCGCGGCGCCACAGCGCAAGGCACCTGTTCCGGGGTCGCGTCCCTTCCACAAATCGTGCGGGAGGCTGCAGGGCGCGAATCACTTTACCACTCTCCGCTGCGGCACGTTTTCATCGGCGCGAAGGTGAGGGGTGGGCTGGCAGGCAGCGTGTTATGAATGGTCCACCGACACCCAGGTGCTGGCATTTGCTGCTGGTGTTGCATGGGCTGCTCGCCATGCCCATGCATGCAGCTCGTCGCGCCACCCATGCATGCGCCGCTGCGCCGCATGTAGCACCCAACCTGCTTGCCCCCCTTAGGCATGAGGCGCATGCGCCTTGCCAGGGGCCAGGCACATTGGTGACACCGTGTGCCTCAATCGTGCGTGCACCCACAACCTCCATGCATTCCCCCCAGGTGCTTGACCAGCCCCAGGACTTCCAGGCCTACGCATCGCGCCTCTCCAGCGAGGTGGCCTCCTCCCTCGGCGCCGCCATGGCACAGAAGGCGCCTCCTGCTCAGCTCGGCTCCGCCGTTGTCCCCTATGCCACCCCTGCCGTGGTCACCGCCATAGCCGCCACATCGCCGCCGCGCCTGCCCACCCTTGTGCGCACAATCGCACTGGACGGCTGCGTGCAGCTCGTTGCCTGGGCTGTCGGCGCGCAATCGCCCCCCGCAAGCGGCGGTGTTGCGCTGTGCACGCCCAGCCGCACCCCGTCGTTCGCGCAAGCCCATCAATTTGAGCGGGGCGTGCTCGACGAGCTGCTCGCGGGCAGCGGGCTGCTCCGCAGCGCAGCAGCCGCCACGCTCCAGGCCGGCGGCACAGTCGCATCCCTGGGCGGCGCGGCCGCCCCGCCCTGCTTCTCGTCGCTCTGCGCCGGCGCCCCAGCAGTCGAGGGTGGTGCCGAGGACCTCCAACTGCTCTACGCCTGGCCCTGCTGTCTCCCCGCCGCATCATCAAGCACAACCTCAGGCAACGCCGCTGCAGTCGCGGGCCCAACCCGCGTGGAGGTCTGCCTCGCGCCCGCCAGCGCCGCGGCCGCGGCGGGCGTGCGGTGGCTGCCGGCGCGCGCGCTGCTGTCCGACGGCGCCGGCGTGCTGCTGGACGCACCGCTGGTGCTCGACACCGCGCGGCCTGTCGCCAGGTGGGCTGGCTGGGGTTTCAGCCCGCCAGATCAGGGGGGTGGCAGTGCCAGCAGGGCAGGGGCCCATGCACCGATCAAGCCGTCCGAGTAGGTCACGGCCATCAACCAGTAGCATTCTGCTGCTGAGCCTGATCTTGCCTTGATCTGAGGCAGCGACTGGTGCTGCAGCACTGCCCTTCCTCCGAACCGTCTCAGACTACGAAACGCGCCCTCCTCTCTTCCGCTGTTGTTGAAGCAGTGACCGCCTCGGAGTGCCACCATCCCCACACTTCCCAACTCTCCTGCCCTCGTCTGTCTGCGCATAGGGTGGAGCTGCCCCCCCACCTCGCCCTGCAGCAGGGCGCCTACGAGCTCTGCATCCTGTCAGGGCCAAGACCAACAGCAACCAACGCCGCCGCCAACTTCCGCCCCGTTGTCACAACAACGCCGCCGCCGGCGCGCCGCCCCGGCCCCTTTGACGCGCCGCCCGCGTCCCCGCTTACTGGCGCCGCGGCCCGCGCCGGGCGCGACAGCGCAGACGAGATGCCCAGAAGCGCCGCGGGCACGTGCTGCGGCGCCGCGCCACGCTGGGGCAGCTCCTCCGGCACCTCAACGGGCCGAACGACAGCCTCTCAGCCCTCGACGCAGGACGACTGCGCAGCTGCAGGCGCTACAGCGATCGCCGGGGCGGCGGCCCTGCTGCCACCTGAGGGCTGCGTGCTCGCGTCGCTGCCGCTGCTGGTGCTGCCAGGCGCCGCCGCAGCCGAGCTGTCCACTCTGCTCGACACCATGGCTTCAGAAGAGGAGGCAGCAACGGCCGTGCCCGTCCCATCCACTGGCGCGGCTACTCCCTGCCTCGAGCCCCTTGCTGAGGTCGACACGGTGTCGCCGGGCGCACCACCCGGCCTGCTCAGCCGCATGAGCGGCGCCCTGGGGCTGCACTCTTGGGGCACAGCTGGCTGCGCTGCTCTTGAGCCGCAGCCCTTCGCCTGGGACGCGCCCCTGCCGCCGCCGCCGGGGCCCCGCGTCGCGGCATGGCGCGACCACTGGCGGCCGCTGCTGGACGACCTGAGCTTTGTGGCCGCCCTGGCGACGTGCGGCGCCGCGGCGGTGCATGAGATGGGTACAGAGGGGGCCGGCGAGCTGGCGCGCACCACAGCGGTGGGTGCCGTGTTGTATCGGGGCACTCCCACCTCTGGAACAAGCACAGCGCCTTCCTGGCTGTGGCTCTGCCTGCACTCGGGCGTCACAACTTGAGGGGTGCGTCAGCTGACTGCTGCCCCCTCATGCTGCCCTTCCCACGTGCGCCACCCCTCCCGACCCTCGAATCCCTGTGCAACCTGCCCCGCAGGTGCTTCTAGACTACCTTCTGAGCAACAACTGCTGCTCCACTGCCGCCGCCGTGATGTCCACTGCCGCCGCCGCGGGCCTGCCCTTCACCTGGCGCGGTGAGGAGCTGCCGACCGCTGGCATCGCCGACGCCTCCACCCCGGCCCAAGGCGGCCTGGCCGCCCTGCTCGCGTCAGAGATGGCCCGCGAGGGGCTAGAGCAGCAGCAGGCGCAGCACCGCCAGCGCGCGGAGCACGCGGCCCAGATCGAGCCCGCAGTTGATGCGACCGGCGTCGCTGGGCCTTGCAGCGCTGACATCGCTGCGCCAGTCGCGGGCAGCATCCTTAAGGACCTGCGCCTGCCACCCGCTGGCAGCGCAGCGCGAATGGGCTGCAGCTACGGCGGCGGCACCATCGCCTGCAGCCCGCACACGCCGCAAGCGGCTGTCGCGTCCCCTGCGACGCACGTGTGGCCGCTCGGCTGTGCGCGGCGGCCCGCTGTGGTGTAGGATACCGCCGGCACGACGTGTCAGGCCATAAGGCACTACGGCAGCGTCACCTCTCCCGCCATACCAGTGGCCAAGGTGGCATATCACCCCTCTAATTGTCTGCTCGCAGCGTCTCCTGTCTGGCTTTTACCTGAGCACTGGCGCTGCCAGGCTCGCAGGACGTGCCAGCGACACGCAGGGCGCACACGTGCAGGTCGCGGCGTTCGGGCGCGATGCATTACGCTGGTGCGGCCCGGCCCAGCGGTCGGCTGGTGCGACCCCGCCCAGAGGCCAACAGCACCACATTTCAACCACCACACTTCAACCGCCATTGACCACTCGGTTATCCGGGGCGTCACGTGTGCATGCCGGCCGCATCTTTGTTTCAAGGCCCGCACACGAGCCCCAGGAACGGCGACCCTGCTCTTTCTCGTGGGATTTTTGCTGGAGTCCCATTGCATCCGGCCAAGTCATGGTCGAGTCTAGGTGTAGGGCAGGCAGCCTGTGCCAGCCTGCATGCTGGTTGATAGGGGTCTGGGGGGGGTTTGCGTGAGGGTTTTAGAGCGACGAGCGAAGGCAGGTACGACAGCACTTTATGTTGCTTGCAGGATGTGTGCGGGTCTTGAGAGTCAACCTATTTTCAACCGTCCGCTTAGGCCGCTTTGTGACAAGGATCGATGGCAGGGGTGTAGGCCGCTTTTGTTTAGCATGCTTGCTCGGCAAATCTATCCTTGGGAACCCTCTGGTGCATGCTCGGCTTGCACTGTTTGTGGTCATGAATTCCCTTGAGGCTCAATTTTATGCACGCACAGGGTACCACATGCGCAAAGAATGCATCACACTTGCACAGGGTTGGGGGCTCAACCCCCGTGCTGGACCGGCGGGCTTTTTGGCCCACAGGCCCGATATCTGCTGACCACTGCCATTCTGCTGGATTTGTATGGGATGCGAATGGTGTCCAGCATTTTGGTTCCCTCTAGAGGACGATCGCTTGGAAATAACCCTTGCGTGGGTGGTGTTTGAGCGCATTTGCGAGGTCACTCCACCTGAGAGTGTGCTATAGGCAGGGTCTGCCCACAGGCATTGCTGTGAGCATCCCAGCACAGCCATTGCTGTGAGCCACCTGGCAGGCCGCCTGTGTTTGCTCAGGCGCGCCACTTCAACAGACAGATAGGACCGCCCGGCCATGCAGCATATTGGCTGCTCGCTTGCACCGATTTTCCAGACTGGCTCTCGCACGCAATGCGATGTGGCGCAAGGGGGTTCCAGCCCCCCACTCGCGCACCCGCACGGATTGCTGCCGCAGTCTTTCCTGCCTTTTGGCCTTGGCGCCTTCGCCCCTGTGCCCGCACCTGCTGCAGCGTCCTGCCCCTATTACAGGGCATGCCCTTCGGCGGTGCAGGCAGCTGGGGCGGGATTTGCGCCGGCAATGGAGGATGGGACTTTCCCCCTTCAACCCCCAACCAAACAAACCGCCATCCCCGTTTTGAAGAAGGACGACAGCTGCACGGCAACGAAACCATGCGTCCCAGGCTTTTCAGAGCCGTAGGTGCGTCTTTTGCGGGCGCTAGCGCGCTGCCGCAAATTGCCCCTGGCCAACAAGGGCGTGCATTGATGCGTGAGCAGCATATGTGGGCTTTCACACAAACATACCACACCAGGAGTTTTGGGCGTCAGCCAGCCCGCTGCACTTGTTCAGGAATTGATGTAACACTTGTTTAGGACCAAGCCCATTGCTCTTTCCATGTACAGGACAGCTTAAATATGATGCCTGTGATGGCATGGGATGGCTTTGCGGGTCACGCTTCCAGGATCCATCTCCAAAACGCACATGCAGCCAGTGGTGCAAATTCTAGAAACCCATACAAGCACACATCTGGCTCAGGATGAGTCACAAGGTGCTGACAAGCAATGTGCACACTTCATGAAGATGCTGTGCATAGGTCAGATCTGGGACGCGGCTTGAAACCCTGGGCGTGAGGCGGGGCCCTTACCCGAGATTGTGCAAGCCCTCTGCAATCTCTGCAACACACACCACCCCTGCCAGAGCGGCACGCGCTTGCCGCTAATTATGCCATCTTCCTGGGCAAGCGGCGTCTGCGTTTTCAAGGGAGGGGCTGCCACAAGCGCGCCATTGGCAGGGGCACTCATTCCTGACAGCTCTAGGGTGGGCTTCTCAGGGTGGCCCTGCCCTCCCGCTGCAGCACTGTTCAAGAAGGTCTGTCGCCCGCCTCTGCTGTTTCAGGGTATGAGCCCGCAACTGATCTTACTTTTCCAGGGGGGGGCGGCCGTGCTGGTGGTGCGAGCGTGCAACAACTGTGAGGGTGTAAAAATACAGTGGTGTGGGGCGCAGGTTGTCAAGGGCATGTTTGTCTCCTCGCCATCCTGCACTCCGAATCAAGTCACCCTGGGGGTAGACAAGCATGCGCGAGTCAGTCGAAGCAGATCCGCATAGGCCGCATTGACTGCACGCAAGGACCATCAGCTCAGACACATGATCCCAGGTGGTGACTGAGTGACGCCGCCGATGCTGATCGCTCCCTGGCGTATGCAGCAGCACCAAACTCATATCCCTAGTAATTGTTGAGCAACATGGCTGCTTCGGACATAACAGACCTTCCCCTTGGCACTTTGCTTGCCACCCGGCTCCCTGCACGATCGCTGGCGTCTTTGTGCTGTTCGTCTCACGCTCTACGGCGGCATATAGATCTTTCTGATGGCCACTGGCGCGACCGCCTTCACGCCCACTTCGGAGAAGCGGCAGCTGCAGACGCGGCGCGGCGCACCAGCGGCAAAGAATGCATGCGCCGTGCAATGCAGTGCGCCACGCGGCTCTGCACGTCGGACCCCGCCACCGAATCTATTGCGCGCGCCTATAATTCGGTCGCACCTGGGGCAGCATGCCTGGCGCTCGGCGCAAGGCTCGAGGGTGGCGCCGTGTGGGAGCCGCCGCGCATGGCGATTGCAGTGGACTCGCAGGTGAGGAATTTACTGGCAGGTGCAAGGGTGCAGCCTTAACAGGATGATCTGATACACTTGGTTGAGGGTAGGACTCGTGTGCATGTGCAGGAAGGTACTGTCTGTGCTCCGCAGCTGTTTCACGGCGTGCTGACTCAGCTCGCACCTGCGCCGCTGTCGCGACCCCCGTTGCCCCCCCGCACCAAAACCCTGGCTGGGCAGCTGTGCTTCGCACACCCCGGCCGCCAGCGTCGGTTCAGCAGCCAGGCCGGCCACACCGCCTGGGTGGACTGCCTGATCGAGGTCGCGCCAGGCAGGTGCGGGTGGCCGGCTGCTGATACGGTAGCATGGCGCTGTGCGTGCGTTGCAGCACCCCAGCCGGTAGAATGCGACGCTGGTGGCCCCGTCCGCACCTGTCTGCGAGCAGCTATTGGCCGCCGCGGCTCTGCGCAATGCTGCTCGTGAGGCGGCCCCCTCAACACAGTCACCAGCTGCCCTCCCCCACCGCCGACAGCATCCGCTGTCGCAGCAGCCGCTGCCGGCACCGCAGCACGTCGCAGCCCCACGGGCCCAAGCAGCTACACAGCTCGGCCCCCTCCCCGCGCCCCCAACCATTTGCAGATATGCCAGTGGTGCCAGAGACCGCACAGTCAAATTGTGGGCGCCCTGGGCCCACGCCCACGCCGCCGACGGCGCCGCCACCGCGGCCCCTGCGGCCCCGGTGCGCACGCTGCGCGGCCATGGCGACTCGGTCACGGCTCTGCTGGCTGTGTCGGGGGCCGGGATCGGCGGCGGGGACGGGGAGGGTGGCAGCGCGGTAGTAGGCCCCGGGGCCCCACAGCAGCAGCAGCAACAGCAGCAGCAGCAACAGCAGCAGCCGGCGGTGCTGGCGTCTGCGAGCCTGGACAGGACCGTGCGTGTCTGGAGCCTCGCGCCGCTGCTGGGCGGCGGCGCTGGCAGCGGCGGCGCTGGCGGCGGCGGCGGCGGGGCCCAGCTGGCGGTGCTGCGTGGCCACGGTGAGGGCCGCGGCCAGGGCCCCGCAGTCGGGGGCTGGGGGCTGCGTGCTTCAAGGGGGGGGGGTGCCGCGGGTGCGCAGGGCCCAGGGCTCAGGGAACCCCAGCTCCGCCGCGGCCAATCGCTCCCTCAAAAAATGGTGGCGGCGCGGCGCCCGCCATCAAAGCATGGGGCTGCTGCGTCAAGGCTCCCTGAACCCCCAAACCCCCAATCCGTGCCTCCCCCGCCCGCGCCCGCCCAGGCGACGCCGTGCGCGCGCTGCTGCGCCACCCCACCAGCGGGACCTGCCTCGTCAGCGGCGCCCGTGACCGGCGCGTCAAAGTGTGGGACCTGGGCGGCGGCCGCCAGGGCGCGTGCGCGGCGACCGTCCGCCTGGCGGGCCCCTGCTCATACCTGCTGCCCCTCCAGCTTCCGGCCGCTGCAGGCGGCTGCCTGGCGGCGGTCGGGCCTTTGTTGATCGAGGTCGTGGATCTGCGCTGCAGCCGCCCCGTGATGGCGTTCGCCCCGCCACCCTGTCATGGCAGCGCCGCGGACGGCGGCGCGGGCGGGCACCGCGGGCCGATCCTGTGCGCCGCATCGCACGGCTACGCGCTTGCGTGCGGCCGGGGGCGCGCGGCCTGCGTCTGGGACGCGCGGGGTGCAGCGGCGGCGGCGGCAGCAGCGG